GACTCGTTGAACTTGAATCCATTCGAAATGACGAGGTTCTCAAGGCAATTGGTGCCAGACCGTGCCAACTGCTCGTTGCTCTGCTGAACACACCAATGCAGCTGGGCGAAGAGCTCCTCCAGCAGCAAATGTCCAAGAACATCAAAATACTGCGTGAAGACATCAATGATAGCGTACAAGGCATGGTTGCAGGTGGTGGTCATCCATTCGGATTTCTCGGTGACGTGCTCCGGCAGCTTCATGTTGTCGAAGATACGGAAGATCACATTGAAGAGATCCTTCCACCAATTTGGTTTGAAGCTCTCACCATACGTCTTCACAATCTCAAAGAGCACAGTTAAGGCGCGAGTACGCACGTCCAATTTGCAGCGATTGACCACGCAGGAAAGCGAGAACAGCATCGGGAACCAGCCGCGCACCCAGACACGATCCTCCTCGGCCACCGAGGCGTCGTTTTCCATGCCGGCATGCTCCGCAAACAGTTGTGGTGCCTCGTGGACGCACTGCGCGCAGGTACGTACCAGGCGGATGGCCTCCATGCTGGTATCCGGGAATCTGGCGGTGGCGAACTCTGACAGGCACTTGACCGCGTCCTGGAACGAGTCGACCATGATGGCGAACTGACGCTTATACAGGTCACCGATGATCTTGCCCGTGGTCTGGAAAGCCAGCTCGACAATCGGCTCTTCGTGGTCTCCCGCTGCCAGGTGGAAAATGCTGAAGATATTCTTCCAGCCGGAACGGATGTTATGCGCCTGCGAGTTTACCATCTGGGCAATGCAGCGAACCACCATATCTCGTATTGCCGGCGATGCGTTTTTCTTCATGATGTGCTCAAAGGGACGCAAGAAATCCTTCTGGAAGCGGAAGTTACTGAACTCGCCCTTCTCCATGAACTTCATCGACAACTGACGCAGTGAGTCCAGGGCGAAGAACGAGATTTCCTCGTTGCTATTGCAGCCGACCGCATTGAAGTGCTCACCCAAAACTTGCCAAATACGCGACCACTGCAGACGAATACGCTCCATGTTGTAGTAACTGATTTCCACTATTTTTTGCAAAGAAAACATCCTCGGTTGCTGCTGCTGAAGCTCATCCACGGACACCTGGCACAGGGCCTTTACGAAGTCCACAATAGCATCACCATCCAGTCGCATTGAGCCGGTGAAAATACGATCGACAGCTACCACCACGCTCTGGCTGCTCGTCTCTCCGATGTGCTCTTTCACGCTGGGATTAAGCGAGTCCTTGAGCGTGGTCTGCGCCCCAGAAAGGAACTGGGGCCGCACACCAGTGCCGATCAGTTGTGCCAGCTCAAGCTGGCTAATGCACTTCACTATATCCAGCCAGCTGCTACCAAGATAATTGCCGTCCGTGTGGGCCACCATTATAAGCGTCTTGATGGTGTCGATATTCTTGGCCTTCATCTCGTTGATGGGCGAGTTAGCGTTAAGAAGAGTAAACCTGGCCAGGGCTTGAACATATGCATCTCGCTCCAGGGACATGTGGAAGATGCATGCTATTCGAATAGCGCAACGGATTCCATCCAAGCAGAGTGTAGCAATCTCTGGATCGTCGCAGTCCTGGAGACCCACCGAGAAAGCGGCCAGGAATGGTGTCCAAGCCATTTTGAACATGGGACGCACATGCTCCAAGTGTTTCGCTGAGGTGAAGGGTGACTTGACGTGTGAAACTGACTGCATTAGATTGGTGGCCGTCAGCGAGATGACCTCCATTTCCATGTTCCACAACAGCTTTCTGCGCTTCTCTGTGATAAAGGCCTGTTTTCCAGTGGGTTTCGGCTGTTGAAGCATCCCGGAGTTGTTCTTCATCTTAATTTCGTGTTCAGAAATCTCGTCGTAGATGGAGGACAAGTACTCCTCGGGCAAATCGGATTTGCTGTCGCTGATGCCGCGATTCATTTTAATATACTGCTCCTTCGTCATCTTGTGCTTGACCTGGGGCGAATGAAGATCCGTGGTCAGCATAATGATGCTGAATGCCAGCACGTAGACGGTGTCTGCGCTTTGGAATAGCTGGTTCTGAGGATTGCACTCGCAATATCTACTAGCAAACTTCTCCATCAGTCGATCGATTTTCTGTGCTTCCCCTGGCAGACGGAACTCCTCGAGGAGAATTCTCAAGGCGGCCACAACCTCCAGCTGGCGGAAGTCAAAAGCATCAATGTAAGCACACATCACCTCCTTGGAGTGGTCGTCATTCTCGCCAAGGTAATTTCCAATAACTGTCTTGTCCAGTCGTTCGTCTTCGTGCAGCCATCGGGCAATGTCCTGGCATGTGACACCCAGCAGCTGCTTCTCCTGCAAGAATTGCACGCCTTTCTGAGGCTTGCGATTGAATAACTCGATGCCCGTTTCCATCACTTCCTTGCGCATCTTGCGCTCCTCCAATGCCTCGGGAAGATCCTGCAGTTGCTCCTGATTGGAATTCAAACTATGACTGGAACCGCTGTGTATGGTTTGGATAGTTGTGTCCGCCTGATCTTGCTCAGTGCTTGTCGGCGACTGGACTTGCATAGGGGGAGCCGGCATGTTTGGGTTTACATACAAGTCCTTACTCCACTCTACCATGCACTTCAGAATGGACACAAGGCACTCCAGGCCGCGAATGCGCATCGACTTCTCTTGCATCGGATTGGCGCCCAGCTCTAGAGCCTGACGTCCCTGTGCAATTTTCGAAAGATCGTTGACTAGTCTCTCAAAAAGGTTGGCCGCTGAAAAGTCGCAGTCGTAGTTTACATAGATATCCACTACGGACTGAGCGTCAGCGCAAATCCGTGTCAGCGCTTGGATTACCATCCATTTGTGCTCGAAGCTGCTCGAGTTCGCCTCAAGAATGTTAAGGAAGATTTCCTTAAAGAACACCTCTATCTGTCGCTTAAGATGCACCTTGAAGTTCGACAGTAGAGCCACGAAAATCGAAAGCGACAGCTCGAAGACCTCCGGCACCAGACTGACTCCGTTGTTGGACAAGGCCACGCAAAGATACTGCTTAATGGCCATAATGAACATCTCGTTGGAGCGGAAGACGGGCCCGGCATTCTGGAGGATGAGCAGCAGCAGATGCAATGACAGCACCTTAGACCGCAGCTCGTGCGATTTCGGATCTGGATGACCCTCCGGCAAAGGCTTCATCGATAGCTTGCAGAGTGCCCGGAACACGAGAAACGCATCTTTCTGCAGGATGTGCGTAAACTTAGCAGTTACCACCGCATCGTTCTCGCTGTGCAGCTCTACACTGTCGTGATCCGAATGCGAGGAGTAGTCGTTTCCATTAACTGTTGGCTCTGGCTCTCCGACCGATTCCTGATCCTTCATGGCCTCATTGTAGGCAGCTGAAAAACAAAACTGTCATTATTATTGCGCAATGATAATTAGTCAGTTAGGAGGAGTGGAATTTTATGTTGCACGTTATCGTGAAAATTACGCTTATGACTCGTACTTTTTTTTCCTTCCGATAAGAACAATTTTATGAACTTAAAATGGGGACTCAAAATATTTCAATGTGAGTTACATAAAGTAGTAATCACACCGTTTAACAAGAAACATATGTTTTTCAAACTTTCTTCGGCGAGTGCCACGCACCTGATATGATTTCCGCCAGCAGTTCTGAGGCAATGACTTCGTCGGAATCCCCCAGCGACTCCTCTCCAGAGCCATTGCAATCCTCTGAGTGAATGCTGCCGTTGATGGGATTGGAATTGGGAGGTGGTAGCTCGTACACCTGGTTCTCCATGCGGGCAAATATAACGTTCAACATTTGGGTGAGCGTGGCGCGGGCTGTCGTCTGGTTGACCAGGTTCTTGCTGGACAAATAGATGTCGTAGCAGGTGCGCACTGCTTGGAGGAGCGTGAATTCGTGGATTTCCACATGCTGCGAGGTGACCACCGTGAGCAGAGCCTTAATTATCTGCAGCTGAACGCCCTCGTCGGTCTGGGGACCACTGAAGCAGCCATATATGGTCACAACGATACGGTCGATGAGCAGGTGACCGGGATTGGCCGAGTCCTGAATGGATCCCGTCAAATGGCCATAGGCAATGAGTTTCTGCAGGCAGTCCAAAGCGGTGACCACGATCCTGGGAGAGCGGCTCTTGCAGGCGAGCTCAAAGGGGAGAAAGTAGGTCTCCGCATTAATGATGCTCGCTGCATCATTCTTGGGCAGCGGGAGTGCGGCGCAGGGCAGCTCGTTACCCTCCGCGATCTGGCCGGCACTGATTAGCTCCGCCTTGATCTGCTCCAGTGCCGAGTCGCAGGACTTCTTCAGCTGCGAGTGATGGGAGCGCCGTATGTCCTTGTCGGCAAGGATCTTCTCTAGAGCACGCACGATGAACATTTCCTTGGTCTTTGTGGAGTTGTTGTGCATATTGGGCCGCTGCCACTCCCAAGGTCGCCTTCGCTGGGTGGCTTTTTATGCCTCTTTCCCTCCTCCACCTGCTTCGGATTTCCCTCTGTCCACCGCTTCCGGAAACGACAGCCACGCAACTTTCGCTGCTGCCTTCTGGGTGCTCCGCCAGCTGTGCGGAGTGCTCCTCTCAGTTGGATTGTCGTCTGGCGGCACTCGTTGAGTTTTTAGCGTGTCGTGGCTGTTTGCATGTTGCAAATCTCTCAGTTTTTCCACATTTAAATTCGCTTCAAAATACGAAAAAACGTCATCAGAAGTGTGACCGTGAAAGCGAAAATTACTGACCTGTCGCTAGTGTTGGGTAGTACATGGTATTCTATGGCGTCTGGTATTTTTGGCTAATTGGCTAATATATAATCACTTATATTTGAATTTTCAGCGGCTCTTTGGGATACAAAAAAAAAAAAAAAACGAACAAATAAAATAGTCAATAAAATAGCAAATAATATTCACATATAATAAATTATTAGTAGAAATAAGTCTTTCAAATCACTAATTAATATGTTTTCGTACAAAATACAAAAATGGCTTCTTAACTTTTTATAAAGTTAGGAATTGTATTTTAAAATATTGGTTAAGTCCGCATTATTGTATATTTGATGTAAAAATATTTAAATAACATATCTAATTCTAATTAATAAAAGGTGTGCAATGAACACTGTGCTCAACTTTGGTGTAGATTTGACTCTGGGCTATGCTATAACTGCCACTCCTTCGTTGGAACATCCGCCATGAACAGCACGTTTTCCATGTTGCTTTCGATCAGACCGGCGTACTGGGCCGTTACCCCCGCTCCGCCGTGCGTGAAGAGTCGATCCGCCGGCTCTGCGGTTGCCGGAATGTGCAGGTACCTTTTTGCTACGGCGTGCAGGAAGGGATGAGCTTCTGCTAGCTCCTCCCAAAGCTCAAAGGGATCCGCTCGCAGCGTGCTTATGCCGGCGCAGAAATATCTGCCTATCTCATCGTCCGCACCGGGTACGTTGCTCCCGTTGACAAGCCTTTGCTTCCCATGCGAAAATGATTTGAAGGCCGCCCAGATATCGTAGTGGTCGCTGTCCTCCGCATCCTTTACAGCAGCTGGCTCTCCGCTGTCCAGATGCGACTGCATCATGTCATACAGGTCAGTCATGTATTGGGCCACCAGGGCCCCACTCTGGAAGGGAATATTCCGAAACCGTGGGTCCAGCAGACTTGCCATGGCCAGGTGCAAGTTGCGCTCCATGCTTTCGCAGTTCTCTTCCAGCTGCTGAACCATGAACAAGCGTATTTCCCTGGCGACCTTGTGTTCTGCACTCCTCTCTTGCTTCAGTTCGTTGATCAGAGTTTGGGTAATGGGCAGGGCTGTGCTGGCCGCCGGATAGGGTGTTCGACTTAGCTCACGCATGGAGCTAGTCAACGGTCTCAGCACGGCCACCAATTGCTGACACAAATCCACCTCCGCCTGCGAAAACGTAAGCGACTCTTGATCGAGAGTGTGTTTCAGGTACAAATCTAGCATATCGTATGTACTAATAGGTCGGAGTATAGAGTCTAGCTGGGGATTTATCTGTAAGCTGTGACCTTCCACGGTGGACGACTGTATATAGGAACGCACCTTATCGCGCACATCACGGATCTCTGACCGCTGCACCACCGCCTCTAAAAGAGAATTCAACTGGTTAGCGAAGCAAGGAACATGATGATGAGCGCCTAGGAACGAGGTCACCGCGTCCTCCAGCAGTTGACTGCTCCTTGTTGTTACGCAGCAGATTTTATACTTTGGGATGTCAAAGCGTTGACACACTTGCTCCATGCGATCCACTATTTCGTTGGAGGTAAAAAGATCGGGAAGCCGCATCACCGAAAGAGTTCGGGAAATTTGTTGATGCACCTCGTGAAAGTGGACTACCAGTTCTATCCAGCTTTGACCCTCAGCTTTCGTGTGCACCGAGCAACTAAGGCTGAGCGAAGAAATGGCGGCCAACTGCTGGCGTAGCCTGGAAATTCGCCTTTCCGACTCTCTGCGGATAATGGCCTCTAGTTCCGCCGCACTTGGTGGCTTGTAGGTGGGGCACAGTACTTTTACTAGGTGCTGAAATCCCTCGCCCTGCACAATCTGCAATGGCTGGCGGTCACGGCAGACGAAGAAGGCCACGTCTTGGTGAAACGAACTCCGGCTTGGCAGAGGTTCTTCCATTTTGAAGTAGCTGGGAAATAAATAAATGGCATATTTACAATTATGCTTTACTTTAATTGGATTAGACACCAAAATGCGTTATATTAAAAAAAAAAGCTGCTTAAAACAATAGGTTACTCGCAAAGCAACTGCATACAATAAAATTTTAGTTTTAGAAATTCAAAATTCTTACTCAAGACTGGCGAATGGTACATCCTGAATTTGATGAAGTGGATTCTCTGGCTGATCAAGCTCCTCCTTGGGCTCGAACTCGATGATATCCTCGCCGGCAACCGTCTCTGTTCGGGACTCTGTGGTTTCCGGTGTGACCCACGCATACCCGACGCTCTGTATGGAGATGTGATCCTCTGCAGCCGCCTTGACCATTCCCTGGTCATCCAGCTCGATAGTGCAGCCCGCATCCTTAGCCGCCTTGAACAACAGCTCGCTGTGAAAATCAGAGCTCTCTTCCTTGATAGGCAGAACCTTCCGAAATCTCAGCCTGTCTTCCTGCTCCCGCCGCTTGTAAATGCCCCGCTCCACCACCGTATCGTCGTCGAAGAGGTCTCTGTATGAGAAAATTTAAAATATGAAAGAAGGTTTTTGAATTCCGGACCTTACCCACATTTGTGGATGGGTCTTCATGTGCTTCATCAGATTGGACGTGTTGCCGCATGTCTTGATGACCTTCTCGCAGAGCTGGCACTGGGCGGAATTCCGATCCAACTTGTCGTAGAACCTCCATATCTTACTACGCGACATAGTGGGCATAAACGACAAATTAACGACAGGGAATGAATATTTTGTAAATAACGCTAAATTAGTGTGGCCAGCTTGGAGATTTACTAAAGGATTAACATTCAGATTACCGCTTGAGTCGCCCAAGTATTGACTAAGTTTTATGTTTATTTTGGACAAACTTAATTTAATCCAATAGTAGAATAAACTTTTTAAACTGGAAATATATTGAGGGATATACCTTTTTATTTATGAATGAATCGTTCAATTTAGTATTTATTATAAGTATTATTATGCTAAAAATACTAAGCGCGAAATTCAAAATTGAAAACACAATTTTTGAATGTTTTCAGCTGCTTTTTTATGAATCGTGATGAATTTACTATAGTCCAACCAATAAACATGGCACATTAAATATTTGATACAAATATTTTTTTATTTTCTATGTTTGGTTACGGACTAATTAAGTCCTATACGTTAAGTAGAAGAATCGCGCCGAAAGCCCAATAGACCGCCACCGAGAGGATAAGCGGAATACATATAGCTTAAGAGTCGATATAGATAGTCGATTGGAATGCAATCGTGAAATTTAGTGAAATTTATACAGATGACAGATAGTGGGGTACTTCTGGGGTATATATGGGGTACTTCTAGGATATATAATATATGAGATTCAAAGTCAAATAGAATATACCCCGGGAGATGTCATCTATCATATATGATATGATGATATCATATATACATATATATGAGGACCGCAGTACTGTGCTCATCCAGACCAGCAAACTGCGCTTTTAATGTGTCTTCCCTCATTTTAAGTTTCATCGTGGATCTGCTCAGTCTATCATATATATATCATAGATGACATTTAGATGATAGATGGTGCTGCGAAAGATATGTGCTCAATCCCCTACGACGGCAGTACGGTGCTCATCCTAACTGATACTCCGAAACCCGACGGTCTTTGAGGCCTAAACATAGTTACTTTCAGGATTTCGTTGTACGGATGTTTGACGTGACGCTGATTGTGATTTCGCCTCCCTGTCAAACTTCAGAAAAATATCCTCAAGGGTGCACTCGTTCACCGAATAGTCGGCTACGAGATCGGTTAAGCGATTGCCCAGATAGTCCTCCGCTATTTTGAAAACATTCGACCAGAGGATCACGCTCTCCTGTGTGCTTACATAGTAGGTGAGGGTGCCGGCATGGCTCTCGCGCAGTTCCAGACCAGCAAATTGCGCTTTTAATGTGTCAGTGATCGTGGACACATTTACCTCCGTTTCTGTGTCTTCCTTCATTTTAAGTTTTATCGTGAATCCGCTTAGTCGCTTTAGGGCGCAAATATTGTTTAGACACTTGAACTTTCCGTGTGCCATGATGGCCAAGCGATTACACAGCTCTTCACACTCGTCCATGCTGTAAAATATAATGTGCGAATTTTTGAATACCGTTAGAATACCGTTGGCTTACCTATGCGAAGTTAGCACCACAGTTCGGTTACCTCCCTGAAAGTCCTTGATGCACTGCCAAAGAAATCGTCTCGAAATGGGATCTACGCCGGTGGTAGGTTCGTCCAGGAGCACGAGTGCGGGAGCACCGATCATGGCCATTGCCGCCAGAAGCTTGCGCTTTGTGCCTCCCGAATAGTGGCGGACCTGCACGTTTTGATATTTGGTCAAATGCATCTTCTCCAGCCAGTATTTTACGCTCTCCTTGGCGTTGCCTAGTCCCTCGGTGGAGCTGCTTAAGCCCCGCAGCAATGCCATGTAGTACAGGCACTGCTCAGCGGTCATGAATTTATTCAGTGCATCGTACTGAGGGCAGTACCCAAAGCGATGCCTATATGCTACCTCATCCTGTCGAATTTCTATGCCATTGATGCGAATACTGCCACCATCTAGCGGCAAATTGGCCGCAATCATCTGGAAGGTGCTTGTCTTACCCGCTCCGTTTACACCCAAAAGACCAAAGCACTCTCCCTGCTCAGTTGCAAAACTCACTCCGTCCACAGCCAAATTATTACGGTATCGTTTGCGAAGGTTATGCACTATCAATGGATGTTGATCTGCAATCGATGACGGACCTTTAATCAGATCATCAACCCGCTTTTCCTCCTTTGCACAATCATCAATTTCCGAAATGGGAGTACTGGGAATGGTGCCTGTCGAATTGTGTTTCTTTTGTGGGAATTTCCATATGTAGATGGCATCATGAATTCGTCTGCGCAGATACTTGTGTTCCAAGACTATTGTAAAGAATGCCATGGTCAGGACACACACGACGGTGGCATAGGCAAAGAAGGTGTCCTCGCTGATGAGACCCTTTATAAGTTCCGAACGTCGTCGTGTTATAAAGTTTTCATTGATGATGCGCAACTGGTGATTGAGATTGAAGTCCGGTAGGAAGCAAAGGAAGGCGATCTTGGTCTCATGCAGTTTCATGGCCGCCGCATTGTTAGAGGTGATAAGTGGGGCAATTGCTAAATAAAAAGAAGGGGTTTTTATAATAGTTTTCACTGGTTATTCAAATAATATTACCGGACACAATCAGCATCAGAAGCAAATAAGTTGATATCGTGGATATGGACTTGAAGTTGTTCCCCAGGGCATATAGAATGGGTAGGTAGCTGCAGCCGTAGAAAAAGATGCTTAACACAATGACTTTGAGCTGCGCCGTTGCGTACAGCTCCGAGGGCATTACCAAGTATTGCAGATTGAACAGTGCAACGCAGACGAGGATCAGGATCAGCATATCAAAAGTAAAATGAGCGAACCAGTAAGTAAAACGCGAAATGGTCTGCAGCTGTCTGAATCCATTGGCGTACTCCCGAAACGGCAAGGATATGAAATAGAACATGAAGAAAAACATGCCCACCGACACGATGACCGCATAGTATTCCAGGCGGGATGGACTGATGTCGCTAACAAATCGACGAATAGGCACGTAAGTCGTATCAATGCCCGACTCTGGACGCTCTAGCTTTAGCATTGCAGAGTCCACCAGGTTGATTAGTTCTACAGAGCTGTGATAGCGATTGCCAGAATAGAAAATTTCAATGGTAGGCGTATCGGAGGTGCCACGCCCACCTCCATACATGTCAATGATGCCAATCACCTTTTCCAAAAAATCAGCCAAGTTGTCGCGTTGTAAGTCAAGGGATTCTAAGGAACACACGAATTAATAGAGCCATTAAAAAGTTCAGCACAACGTCGAATACTCACCATTTCTCACATCGTTACTCCCACGCAGCTGCAGAGTTTTCACTGTGATTCCGCTGAGCTCGATCAGTTGGCGCAGCTTCAGCTCCACCTGGGCGTGATGGCCCGTTGGGTTGTGGATGTAAACAACGCCGCTGCCCATCTGGCTGAGTTTCAGTTGCAGAGCCTCCTCGTTCTCCACTATCGACATGGCATGCATCACCAGTATAGCCCCGAACACGCAAACAAAGGGAATGCTCAGCTGGCGAGGGGGGAGGACAAAAGAGGCAAAAACACTTCGTATAACATTACTGTTGTTATCGCCATTTATAAAACAGTGCAAAGTACTAAAATTTATAAAAGGCTTACCATAATGAGAGAATATAACCACTCATTGTAAATAAAGGTCCACTTCTTGTAAAACACAGCCATCCAGAGTTGAAAAAGACTGGGTTGGTTCGCACCGTTGGGCAATCTTTTGTACGATGACAGTAGCGGCGCATCATTGCGGGAACCGTCCGGAGTGTCCACTTGATCCTGATCGCTTGCGCATCTAAAATACCACATACGATATTAAAACCAAAACTGCAAACAATGTAACTTCCAATGCCTACCTTAAAAAAACATCCTCTAGGGAGGTGTCCGTCATGGAAATGGTGTTGATGCCCAGCTCGTTTGATTTAGTCTCCAGCTCATTAAGCATTTGTGCAAAATATTTTTTATAGGCATACGGTAGGCAAATATACACAGTGGGCTTCACCATATTCTGTTCAACGTTTAAAGGATTTTATGCAAACGGCCAAGTTAAATGTAATATTTTCAGTAACTAACCAACACTCTGGCCGTAGGGACAAAATTATGGATTATTTCCATGATTTCGGCTTCACGTAATGTAAAATCGTTGACTTCCAATTTTAGGCGATAGCCAATACCCGATTTGCGCTTTAATTGCAAAGGACTTCCGGTGCTTTGCAGTTTGCCATTGGCCAATATGCAGATGGTATCCCCCAGGACCTCGGCCTCCTCCATGTAGTGCGTGGTGACCAGAATGGCCTTCTCTTTCCGAAGATTAAGTAGAATGTCCCACAGCTCACGACGCGAGTTAATGTCCAATCCCGATGAGGGTTCATCTAGGATTACGATTCTGCGAGATTAAACAGAGATTTTTAAATGCATATTTAAAGTAAAATAGTTCTTAAGCTTACTTGGTGTTTCCGGCAATGGCAATACCCAGTGATAACCGCCTCTTCATGCCTCCAGACAAATTCTTGCCGAATTCGTCTCGCTTGTTGCCCAGGCCCAGCTTCTTAAGCTTCTCATCTGCCCAATCGCGTGCATCAGAGCGGCGAGCTCCCCGCAGCTGGGCAAAGAATTCCAAGTGCTGGTGACAACTCATGTAACTCATAAAAACGCTGTGCTGAGGACAGAATCCGATCAGGTGGCGGTAGGAGGCCACATCACGCTCACTGCAAACAATTATCTTACCCGAATCCTTTGGTACCAATCCTGAAACAAGAGAGAATATCATTGGGCAAACGATAAAATCAATTTTTAAAGGCTGGGCAAATGATTTTCTTTGAAAATATATAGTTTTAAGAGGTGGGCAAACGATTAATTCTTTAACGGGTTATATTGTCTAAACGAAACATTTTTTCAAATTCCTAAAGTGGGCAGACGATGTTATTTCGATGTTATTAAATTAGATTTTACCGAACCCAGCTTCTTTGAGCTTATCCCTACCCATTATCATATTCATCATGGTTGTTTTTCCAGCGCCATTGTGGCCCAGCAGAACAGTAATCTCCTTGTTGTTGATCGTCATGTTTAAGTTGTCCGAGATTAGCGTCTCGCGCTTGCTTGTCTGGAACTTCTTGCAGAGCTCAGTGATTATGATGGCTTGGGCGCCGCGGGGTGCCGTCGTGTATTCGTTGCGTTGTCGTTTCTTGTATGTCTTCGGCTGTAATTCAGAATAAAGCTTATAAATGGGCTTATTCATGATTAAAGCTGTGAACGAAACCGTGGCATGCCGGATTCTAACCGACTTTATACGACCGTAACCGATAACGGACCTAAAAAAAAACAATTTTACCGATTTCGCAAAATAACAAGTATCAAGCGAATGTATCCGATTAAAATAAGGAACTTAAGGGAAATAAGTTGCCGATCTGTTTATAAAAATAATGAAGATAAATATATTAATAATACGAATTTAATCGAGATAGGGTAGCGTATGAAAGTGTAGCCGATGAGCGAAATAAATTATTTAATGATACAGAAAATAGAAAAGAAAGGCGATATCATCCCGAAACCGATACATAATGATGACTTGGTGAATGGTACTTACATCTAGGAAAAAGAAAATCGGACGCTTCAGCCCACCAGGACCGGGAAAAACACAACCCAAGTAGTTGTAAAGCAGGGCATACAAAAAGGATTGAAATACTAGCGTAAAATATACACAGAACATCCTTGGGGAATCGTATTTGATTTCACGAAAGAGATCCGCAGCTCCGAATTCGCGATCTACAAGAGAACACAGTGTCGAAATTTAAATGTACAGCTTTCAAAAATCAATTTAAAATCTTACGCTTATTTGAAAATGTCTGAAAAACATCCAATCCTTCCAGGAAGGTATTCGTGCTAAAGATCACGAAGGCCAGAGATGTGGCCCAGCTTCGAACAAAGGAGAACACATAGGGAATGATTAATATTACCAGGCCACCAATTTTCGCATAGAACACTGCAAGTAAGTTAGGAGATAAGACAACTTTGGTGGAAATATCAAATTACATATTTACCTGAATGGAAACAAACAGAGATCAAATATGCGTACGACATGGTAGACAAAATGTATAGCAGGAACAACAGTACCACGCAAACGAAGCAGATCGATCCTAGTGCCTTGTATAAATAAGCAGCGACCAGCACAAAAAGAATTAGCAAAGTGTAGCACACAAAGCGAATGAGAAAGAAGGTAAGCCCGTTGAGAAAACTCATCGGGGTGACTAGGTTGAGAAATTCCTTCAGCCCGTTCTGCTTTTCCTCCACAAAGGGCACAACAAAGGTGCTCAGTAACACAACATTGAACAGGATGCTGCACAGTGTTCCAAAATATGTCAAACGATGGCTATCCATGCTATTGACCTCTAGGTTAGGCATCGAGCTGACCAGCACCTCAAAGTTTATGCCCAGCTCCTGGTATTTCATATACTGTTTGTCCAAGATATGTTGCAAGGTCAGGAAACCCGCACGAATATAATCGTCGTCATCTGAAAAATAAAAACCAAGCAGGGGTTCGTTAAACGGGAACAATGGCTAATTAAATGACGCACCTTTCTGATGGTTAATCTCCTCGTCGTTCACAAAGCGCTTTTTAGGCGAAATACGCATCTGATTCGACCCAAGGCTGTAACGGAAATATTTTCCAGAGCCACGATTTGGTACCTGGTTGAAGTTGATAGCGAAGCAGCTGCCACGGCACTGCTGCTCCATTTCCAGCTGCATCTCGAAACTGTTGTTGTGGGCCCGAAGTCCTGCGCGATGATATCGCAGGTTTGTTAATGATGTTCAAAAGATATAATTTAAAATATTGGCGACGTAATTAAATGAAATATATACACTTACGCTCTGGTACAATTCCCAGTTCAACCCGCAGGAGGTCCATAATGTCCTCCACATTGGAGGAGTATGGTGCGTAGTATATGTAATCGAGTTCATTGCCGGGGAAGTACGTTTCCTTTAGTATCATCTTAATATATAATTATATAAGTAAGTGATTGTGGTTATATGTACATATATAAAATCCTGATAACACTTATCACTCCTTACTCCTTGAGCGTGGTTGATTTCGTATTTGTACATTGTTTATTGCGCGTCAACCGATTAGCACACCCTCAACGAGCAGCACGTCTTAAAAACTTAAGATTAGGAAAACTAAAAAAGCTTCTCAAATAAATGTTTTTCCCCTTAGAAGATTATATAATTTCACACGAAAATTAGTAGAAGATAGGATACTAACTTTATTAATAACATTTTAAATGAATGTAAACAAACATAACATACGAAATTCAGTATTTTTTTGAGACAGTCGATGTCTTTGCCATACCAAAGACACTAGAATAATTATAGTAATTCTAATTCTAATAATTCTAGACAAAGAATTATTCTAGTGTCTTTGCCCATACTCACTATACTCTATACTCACCTCATTTTTAGCTTCATTTAGCTCCTGAATTTGGTAGTGCACGGGCTTTATGGACCAGTGGAGATACGCAGTAAGGACTCCGGCGAATCCGAAGTAGATTAAGAGCAGGGGCAGCAAGTTACATTGCAAGTAGAGCAGATTCTTTCGCAGAAAGACAAAGAACAGTGGCCTGAATATGGCAGGCATTTGATTAACAGCCTTACTTTCACCAACTTTATTATGAATGCTATATGGCAGAAGCAAAAAACCGATAGCTTATCGATTGCATCCACACCCCATTCGATAAAGATATCGAACTGTAGGGACAGGAGAAAATGAGTGCATGTAGTAAATTTAGATACTGATTAATAAAGATTATTTCTGCACCCTATTTATCAGAAATGCTCAAAAAATTTTATTAGCAAAAATATATATTCAAATTGAGTTCAATTTGTGAATACATTTATTCTCTTTTGTTTTTGATATCATCGCAATAAATATAGCGTCAAAAAAGCCAGAGTAGCAGCACAGCTTTCGACATATCGATAGGCATTGCCTTGAAATCGGAATCTGTTCATTATAATCAACAATAATGAGCGGCTCGCAGTTATTCCCAGTGAGTCTAAGCAATCTGAGTGCCAAAGAGCGACACGACTATATCCTCAGTAATTACGTGCTCAACTCGCCGGCGGAGGCGGAATCGCGTCGCCACAAGCGCGACATCGATGTAATCCGGGAGAATCACCGCTTCCTGTGGGAGGATGACGAGTTGGACACCGACACCCTGAGCTGGGAGCAGCGCTTGGCTCTGCGATACTACAGAAAGCTCTTTAAGGAGTACTGCATCGCGGATCTGTCCCGCTACAAGGAAAACAAGATAGCGCTGCGCTGGAGAACAGAGCAGGAGGTGGTCACCGGAACCGGGCAGTTCCAGTGCGGGAGCCGGCATTGCGAGGAGCGGGATAATCTGCGCAGCTGGGAAGTCAACTTTAAGTATATTGAAAAGGGGGTGCCCCTAAATGCACTGGTCAAGGTGGGTTCCGAATGGTATTCAGCAATTGTGTCACTAATTGGATTTCCAAAGGTACGGCTTTGTCCCACCCACACGGATCAGCTGAACTACCGCACCAAGAAGCGGGAGTGCAAGAAGCAGCAACGCAGACAAAAAAAGGAGCTTCGCGCTGAGAAAAAACGTAAACGTCGAAAGCTTGATGATAAACAAAAAAGTTCTGGCGAAGATGTAGAGGAGACTGTTGAACCAGCTTCCGAGTCCCAGCCAGAAGCCAGCAAAAAGGCTGCAGCCCCTAAAGAAGACACCACGGCAGACGAACAAATCTGGCTACAACAACCTGATCTTAGCCAGGCGCAGACCTCCAGAGAACATGAGTTCGAGCGATATCTAGAGGATCTCCTTTTTTAAAATACATAGCACATTTATTTGGATTCAACGTAGACACTAGTGCTCTTTTTTTATAGTTACTGGCCGCGAGATGCGTTCGCTTACGAACTACGAACTACGATGTACATGTACACTCACATTTACAGGATTATTCACAAGAACTGCGTGTTAAAACCGACACCAAATCTAAAGTTGAACTGAACATTAAGGCTGTGACTTTGATTGATTTTTGGAAAGAATTCCGAATCGCTACATTATAGGCATGTACCTAGTTCAACCGCTATTTCTGTTTACATCGAATGCAAATCGGAGGTTCGAAAATACAATTTCACTTCACGTTTGTGGTCAAAACAAATTGTTTAAATCCAGCCACTGAAGAGTTTCTAAATATAAACCGCTTTAGAATAAATATCCCCGATTGTTTACACTCGACGAATAGAGAAATCACATCTGAGCGCATCCGCTTGAACTAGGGGTAAAAAAAGACTGTTCTAATTGTATATAGCATCATTGAACGTACAGGGACAGCGGCCGGGATTACTGCTCCTTGGACAGAAGCTCGGCGAAGGCGGCTGAGGGCTTGAAGGCCGTCACCTCGCTGAAGACCATCTCCCGCCACTTCTCCACCGGCAGCTCGTTCTCCTCGAAGCTTTGATCGTAGAGTGCGGCGGTCTGCTCATCGGTTGGATCGTGGTACTTCTCCATGTAGGGATGGGCCAGCGCCTGTTCGGCAGTAATGCGCTTGTCCGAATCTAGTTCCAGCATCTTCTCCAGCAAATCAATGGCCAGCGGGTTGGCACCGCGGAAGATGTCGCGGAAATTGCGGCGCGGCATCACCGGCAGTGAACGGATATAGTTCCGAGCGCTCTCCGAGGAAATGCGGCTCATGAACTCATCAGCTGGCGTGCCCAGCACTTCCATGATGAGGTTCAGCTGATGGATGTGATCGGTTCCAGGGAACAGCGTCCGTCCAGTCAGCAGCTCGGCCATAATGCATCCCACCGACCAGATGTCCACCGTCTGGTTGTAGTGCATCCAGTTGAGCATGATCTCAGGCGCCCGGTACCATCGCGTAGCCACGTACCCGGTCATCTCGCTTTCGGCGGGACGAGCCAATCCGAAGTCTAGGATGCGAAGCTCACAGTCCTCGTTCACCGCAATATTCGATGGCTTTAGATCGCGATGGATGACCCCAGCGCTGTGGATATACTTCAGACCGCGCAGGATTTGGTACACCAGAAACTGGACATGATCATCGGACAGCTTTTGCGTGCGTATTATGTTGTTCAGATCGGCGTCCATCAAGTGGGTCACCATGTACACCTGCTGGAACTGATCTAGAGAATCGGCGGGCTGTCCCGGATGAAAGACATCCAGCAGACCAATTACGTTCTCGTGGTCCATGTGCTTCAGCAGTCGCAGTTCCCGGTAGGTGCGCTTCGCATGGACCGACGACTGGAAGGGCCTGGCCAGCTTCTTGATGGCCACCTTCGTGCTGGTTCCGCGGACCACAGCCTTGCAGACCTGACCGTATGCACCCTGACCCACTGGTTGCAGGTTCTGGTATGTCTCCGGGATCTCCCACTCGGTGCGGTTGATGTCCAGCTTGTAGAACTTGGCCATTTTGCGTGACATTTCGTTGGGGTGTTCTATACGCTCAGTTGCTATAATGTTATTAATCCGCTGGCTCTTTTTTGGCAGGTCTTCTTCTTGCTTGTGGGATTTGTTATCTCTGTTCCACACTGCGCGGTCTGAACATTGCTGGAAATGAGTAATCGTTGCGGGGATTAGGGGAAAATGTAGCCAATTTCTGGTATTTCCGCCAAGATTCATTTGAATCTGCCCAACTGATGGGTAACTTACATCTCACGGATTTTATTTATGCTATTCCGCTGCACCTACACTTTTTCTGATTGGACAACAACGCTGTCTTGCCTATCGATAATCGCAGTTGGGGCCGATTTCCAATCAGCTGCTGCTCGTTTATGCGTTAACATGATTGGTTTTAGGCCGCTCCTCACAAAAATCAGAGTCCATCGAGTCAGCGACTCAGTTTAAAAAGCTTCTGCGTCGTATGCTTGAAAGTTGCAGTTCTTCACTATCAATACTATTTATAAAGTTTTGTTTAATCTGCTTATAGTTATAGAGAATTATACATATAACACTGTAAATATTATTTGGAGTTCTATGTATTTCTTATTAATTTATCATACCTTTGATAGTAATAAATATCACAATTAAATAGTGCAGTGAGTAATGCAATACTTCCAGAGTATTAAATGAAATCATGATATCTATCTATACTTTAGTTAATATTTAAACATATAGATTAGTACCTCAAAGTATTTTTTGAAAGAATAACATTCAGGTAGATTATTCCCTAGTCGACCATGGACATAAAGCCATGCACTAGAGTTTAACATGGCCCGGTAACAGAAGGCGGTCAGTTGGCGCAAGCTGGTTTAGTTTCAATCGGTCGCTCGTTGGCAGTACATCGAAGGTCCGGATCGTGACGCTTTTCGCTCCAACGTTTTTTGCACGAGTTTTTTCCATACGTATTTGTTCATTGACAAAAACTCAAGCTGCGCTCTGTGCGTGCGTGTGTGTGCCAGTGTGTGTGTGAGCGGGCGCGTCTGTGTGAGTGCGGTGCTTTGTGTGCAGAATAATTTTTGCAAACATTATGTAAATGCGCAAATTAAAGTTCAATCGACGCCAGTTTTGAGTAGGAAACCAGATCGCCTTGCTTTAAGTGCCACGGAGCAACAGTTTATTTTTCTTCCCAATTTTTGGAAAAAATACTCCATCAGTAGGCACACCCCACATCCATACACAGGATCTCAAGCGATCCGCCGGATATACCTTTACCGTTACAAAAATCCAAAATGGCCACCACAGCGGCCGCAATGGCCGCAACGAGTGTAGTTGTTCTGGATCGCGGAAACAATACAACCTGCACCATCAATTTGCACGGTGAGCAGAAAGTCTTAAAACAAAAGAAATACAATATACAACAAATGAATAGCAAGCGCACAATTAATCATAATTAACGAAGACACCACCAGCACTGTGCCAAAATTTGTTGGCGTTATTTTTAGCGGATGATTGGCTTAGACTTTCCCGTTCGCCGGGAGTTTCCGAAACCGAAACCCGTTTCGCCCCCTATTCGATATATTCGCGACCTCTGGAGGTTATCAATTCGTTCTGAAAATAACCTTGTTTTTACCTTCCGCTGTTCTACGCACCAGCTCCAGGGATTTCGCTATCTTATCAGCCGAGATCGTCACAGTTTAGGCGGTATATGCACATATGTATATATATGTCCCACTCGATGCGATCGCTGGGGATCAGTGGGGATTCGTTTTTGGAGCAGCTTAGAGCTTAGAGTTGGAGCTTGGAGTTGCTATCCCAGCTGCGCCGGTGCGGCTCCTACTCGCAGCACATTTCGATTAGGCGTTATATATATTGTTCGCATATAGGCACATACATATATACAAGCCCCTCTCTATGAGCACCTATGTGAGCTGGTACTGGTACCCAGCGTACTTTCAACAATTACGACTGCCTGTGTCTGGCCTGCCCACGTTGGTTTCCAAGTCGCAGCCGTTTGAGCAACAGTCAGACGGCGAGAGACACAACAGTGTTTGGAACAGACAGTAGATCGTACACGCAAAGAAATAACTATGTATCTAAACATTAGATTAGACTATTAAGTGGGAATTCTTGAAACAGATGGTTTCTTATAGAAAAGTTTTTCAAATAGCTTACTTTAGGTCAAGGCAAGTTATTTTTCGTCTTTCAGGGCACTTTGCTAAATTCATGTGGAACCATATCTGTTGGATCAGTCAATTTTATTATTTTTCATGTTCCACGTACGATCAAATGGCCTCTTAAAAGCTAAGATATATCCTATAACTGATGCTAAGTGTAATACCATTGCAGATTCGATTTTATTTAATCGATTTATTAAATGAACCATCTCCTGCTTTCCTTTCAGTGTATCTTATCACATGTAATGCAAAACAATGTTAATTATAAGTTTTCGAGGGAGCTTTAACTAAACTTAACATGAAGTGTTTCCAATCATAATAATCAAGGTGCCAGAGCAGTGGTTGTGGCCTGCTGAAAGCCCATCGCACATTGGGGCCAACTGAGCGAGATTTTGGGAACAGCAGCAGCTCCTCCCACGCAGCCAAGTGCTCACCCACCCATTGGCCGTAGGCCATCGTCATGCCCAGAGATCCATACCCGTAGCGTAACCAAAACCAACCCATATCCCAGTCTTTAACTGTACCAGAGATTCGGTCTCAGCCAGTTAGTTTACTTACAGGCCAGTTACTTACTGTGCGATTGTGTGCGTGTATAAGTGAGTGTGTGTGTTGGCCATGTGGGTTAGAAGTGTGTGCGTCATGTACTTGGCTTTGCCGACTGTTGATCCAGCTTCGAATTCATTCATTGATTTTCAAGTTCCGATGTTACTGAAACTACTTCCAACGAAAATGCGATTAAATGTAATTAAATAAGCCTAGTTTGAAATATATCTATTTATAACCATGTACTCATTATTTAAGTACTTTACTATAATATAGTACGATTATATAAAACTGAAAACTAGTTAAGCTCCTTTGAGAGCTTTAACAAAAGTCTGTTTATGGGGGCATAGTTTATATTTCTATAGTGGGTACTTGATTAACACATATAATCCTATATCCCTTCAGAAATCCGTACATCTTTAGTTATTTGTTCACGATATTCCTTATGTACTCTGCCAATCATTTTCGTAAATACTTTTTGAATAAACCGATTTATTTGCCTACCTTCTGTTTGCAGGTGCCACGGTCGTGTCCTGGCGGGTAAACAATCAGGAGCAGTTGTTTGTCAGGTGAGTGGACTGAACTCTGAACTGAACCAGGCAGCACCCTTTAAACATTGCTCATACGCCACGTTGGCCGAACTTTAAGCCCGAACTTACGCAAGCCCACGGTGTGCTGTGCGTTGGTCATGCAACCAAAAAAGTGATTCGCAAAGTTTGCATCGTTGGAGGAGCAGGAGCAGGTAGTGGGACGAGTCCAGGGGGAAGGCGGCTGACAGGTTGGGCAGAAGCAGCAGCAGGATGAGGAGCAGCAGCAGCAGCAGCCTTAGCCATTCTGTTTGGCGGCAAAATGTTTTTGTATGACACCCAACAAAAAACACGTCGGGACCGAGCGGGCCCAAACGTCGAACCAGCGAACCGAACCAAAAGCGACCGAATGGCAAAAACACAAAAACACTGGGACAGCGACAGGGGCGGTGCGGTGGCGGGAGAATGCCCCTGCTCGCCAACTAGGAGCCGTTGCACTTGCAACCAAGAGGAGCTGCCTCCATTGATGGCCGTTTTTTTCGCCCTGTTGCTGCCTACTCCTGTTCTGGGCTTCCCAATCCCCCTTCCATGGCCTCCTCCCCCCTTTGTGGCAAAACAATGTGCAAGTTTTTATGAATGGAGTTTTTGGCGCGGCCAGCTAGATCGATAAATCCCCACTACAAGGGGAGGCACAGTGGTTCGTGGCCCCATCATCTTTCGGCCAATTCCCGGGTTCTTCGCCAGCTCCCACACAAACAGAAACACAAATACAAATACATTGGAGTGTGTTAGCCCCTTGTCGGTGCTCCTAACTTCTTTTTTGTTTCGTCTGCTGCAAAGTTTTCGACGGTTTTTGTGGCCAACAGTCATTCGGCATTCGGAAACCCACTAAAAACTGGCAGTGGTCGTGGACAAGGCAAGCAAGTGGAAAACTAAATTAATTATTTGCCCTGTTCGAGACTGCCTGGGCTAAATAACTTTACATCGAAATTTACAGAAATAGGAAAACTTTGGGTAAAGACACTTAAATTATGAAAAAAACTGTATAATCAAGTAATTATCTTATGGCTATAATTATTTTTGTAAATTCCTTATTCAGATTAGGATTTTGCATTTAAAAAAACTATTGCAAGGACTGGCAGCAATTCCTCTTTTAAGTAAATGCCAAGCTGAAGTCCCAGAATATTAATGAAATTTTGCCATGTCCAATGCGATCCACAGCTGAAAACGTTTGCAAATGATGCACATAAAGTGGAGGAGCAGCTTAGGTAGATCCAGGGGCAGAAGGAGTTGCTTGATGGATGCGTCGGCAAATTAGCTGAGACGAAACCCAAGGCAAGTCCCATCTCGCGGCAACGTCATCCTCAGCGACAGGAGAAAAACAAAACACACAAAAAAGGGGCAAGGAGCATTTTGCCAGACACTTTTTTCTGCTAATAGCATTTCTGAATTTCTGAATGTCTGTCTCGGTCTGCAAGCGTTTTTATGGCCGAAATATTTTCGAGTGCCGTCTAACCGAATTAAACGAGCCTTTTCCCTTCAACCCATCTTGTTTTTCCCCAGCAAACTGGCCTCATTCGATGGCAAGAAGGCGATACGTGGTGGGATTCCGTTTGTCTTTCGTAAGTTTGCCAAGATCCAGTAGCTTTGCACAGTGATTAGTTTATTTCTGCCCACAATTTCAGCTCAGTTCGGTGCCTGGTCCTTCGGGCCACAGCACGGATTTGCGAGGATTACCAGGTGGCACCTGGAGAGACCGCCAGACAGGCTGCACAATGGCGATGTGGAGGCCATATTCTCGCTTATGGACAACGACTTTACGCGATCCATCTGGAACTATCAGTAAGTTTGGAAGTTTATACGGCCTGATAGCTCATTAACACATATACAGATCATTAAGTTATTCCAGAGTCAATATTTCGAAAGTATATTTTGAAAGTACCATCTGGCTAACTCGTTTTCCATTAAAGGTTTCGCATCACTTATCGTCTGATCCTACGGGAAAAGGAGCTACACTTCCACATCGGCGTTTACAATCCCAGCAAGGAGCTGAGCTTCACCTTCAACATGCTGCTGCACACCTACCTAAAGGTGCCCGATGTGCGGCGATGTCAGATCACTGGCCTCCAGGGCTGCCACTTCATTGACAAGACGCGGGAGAATGCGCTCTATCAGGAGGGACGCGAGGTGGTCACCGTCAATGAATGGACCGACAGGATCTACCAGCACACGCCGCAGGAGCACGTCATCACAAACGTGGTATCCGGCCGGAAAATGAGACTGCACAAGTACAATTTTCCCGATACGGGTTAGCTAACTAGGCTTGCGGATATTTGAATGTTATAGTATATATATTGTACAATTTCAGTCATCTGGAATCCTTGGATTGATCGATCGCGTGAGATGAGTGACTTCGGGGACGACGAGTTCCCCAACATGTTGTGCGTGGAGGCGGGCAATGTGACCTCGCCGGTGATCCTGCTGCCTGGCACCGCTTACGAGGCCAGCCAGATCCTTCAGGTAGAGCAGCCGGTGCTGGAGTAACCCCATCTAACCCATCCTAACAACCACACCTGTTCCCCCACCCAGCAATTCAAGTGTCCCTATACCATAGACCCATCCAGCTGGAAGAAAAACTATCTAACTAACTTCTTAAAAAACGACTAGAGTCAATCAAGCCACCTCCATATTCCAATTCAAATTCTTTACTTTGCATGCTATCAGATTATCATCGAGGGCAATGTTAGTCGCAAGACCAAGCGGAATCGCTAGCGTTTAAAGAATCGGAACCCGATGAGGTAAACCGATTCGCAACCATGTCAAAGAGCAATTTTCCACAGATGAGGATCTGCGTCCAGAGAAGCAGGCGGAGATGCCGGATAAGCAGAAGGAGGGAGAGACATTAAACTGGTTGGTTGTTTCTGCACGGTCTCTAGACTCTAATCTATCTATTAAGTAATCGTAATGTCCTCTCTAGCAATGTGTTGTGCAAAAAATCATAAAGAATAGTACACTTAACTTCGTTTATCATCCTTAGTTTGTGCCTACTTAAAAGACAATGTGCATTGATAGTAGCTTAATTAAGTTTTGCGGATCAGAAAGTGAGAGAAGTGGATTTAAAAAATAAAAAGTAGCGTCAAATCTTTGTTACTGTACAAGTTATCTGCGTCCATTGTGATGACGTAACTTTTTGCTTCGGAATCTTACTTACTCAGCACAAATACACGAACTAAAGTCATGAAGTTGTATACGATTGAAAATAGATAACTTAAAAATGTTTTAAACCTAATATGTGTAATATACTAAAAGCAATTATATGTACCAATTAATTAAATAATCTTTGTAATTGTAACATTAAAATCAAAAGGATGTACTTGAAACTTTGGCAGATTACATATATTTCACAGTACATATTTCGCCTTTTTTGAAAATTATTCAAAGTCAAACTCCTCCAACACATCACCACCAATGGCATCCCATTCAGCCTCGTCCTTTACTAATTCATACGGAAAGTGTTGTTGGAACCACCAGTAGAGTGTCATGCTGACGTTGGACATTACGCGTCCCTTCACTGTCTTTCTCCATGCCTAAGGATTGAATATCATTAGATTCAGACATTCAGACTTCAAAAGGTCAATCTTACTTCTCGACTTCCCAGAGTCCCTGTACTTAACAAATTCGGGAAACAAAATGCATAAATTAATGCCAAAAGCAAGCGAAACATTTTTAGACCGGTTCGGCGAAGTATCTTGCAGCTATGAAGAAATGCAACTGAGCTAAAAACTTTAGCTTTGCGACAAGAGACGAGAGCTCGGATCTCTAATGAGGAACGTTCAGAAACGAGAAGTGGAATTCCAGCTAAGAAACTTACACTTTCAGGTGTCGTACATTAAGCTTAGTTTATTTGATTTTTGTTTGTTTTTTATCAGTTGCTTAGAATAGATTCTTTACATACATATATAAATTAGGCATTTCTAGATTGATTCTAAAACGCAACGCTCCTGCAAATCGAGCCACTTCCGTTGGCCAAAAACGTACTTGCTAAATATCGCGCTTTGACTTAGTAAGTGGTTGCTTAATGGGTGCTTTTTGAAGCTGGGACAAGAAGGGTTAGGGAAGAAGTTAGCTCACATGAGTCGTCGAGTTTTCGCATAGTTTCCGTTTTGTTTATATTGATTTTTCCAGCTGGACAAGTTGTTCTATAAATATATTTATGATCGAATGATATTGCAAGGATAGTTTGGTGTACAGCGTGACGAGTGGATGACACAGCTTAGTCGATCTTCACAGCTCCGTAGATTCTTAGAATGAAAACGTAGGCAGCGAAGAAGCCAATAGAGCCAGTTAGCAGCCAAAAAGTGAGCACCATAAGACCTGTGTGTTAAAGATAGTAAACACTTTACGAATATGAGAGGCTTCAGCACCAGCATACCCGTATAGCCCAGGTAGAGCAGCGTCGGTATGAACTCTGTGATCTCCAGCTTTGTGAAAAAGTAGAAGATGCTATAAAAAAGCACATATACGGCTGAGCCGCCAGACACAACAAAACTGCGCCACCACCAACGGTAGTCCTGCATAAAAAACGGAATAATTGATTAGCTTTAGCCTTTTTTAAATGTACACTGAATAACCTTACCTCACCGCAAAGCTGGAAATAAGTCATTACTATAGAGATCTGGGCACAGCTTACGACTAAGATGCAAAACACCAAGAAGAGAAAACCAAACAGGTAGTAGAACTGATTCTGCCAGATGGCCGTGAACACAAAGAAGAGTTCAATGAAGACGGCGCCAAAGGGCAAGATGCCAGCCATCAGAGTGCTGCAAAAATTCGGTATGAGTTTGATAAGTTAATTGAGACTCGTTTAAGTCTGCTCACCTTAAAACCGCATTCATGTACCAATGTTGTGTGGGCACTTGGCGCGGAATCATATTGGTTCGCACTGGGTGCTGGTAGGGTTGCTTGCGGTAGCCCAAATAAAAGCCCAGGTAGACCAGAGGCACAGAGATGCCAAACCAGAGCAGTAGCAGTGAGATCATTGTGGTGAAGGGCACGGCACCGCTAGACGATTTGTCCCAAATGAAAAAGTTTAAAAAGAATCCAGTGCTGCAGGCCAAAAATGAATAACAGATTAGGTATTAAAATAACGTTTAGCCTGGCACAGCTTACCCAAAGACAATGCCTGGATACAGAGTAGCGGTAAGAAAGGCAGCCCGCTTCCACTCGCGGCCCTTCATGGTCTTGTAGAGACGGGCCGCATAGTATCCTGCAATTGTGCCCATGAAGACGTACATAAAGATGCCAGAGGTCATGAGGGCGCCACGCGACGATGGCGAGAGCATGCCCAACATGGCAAAGAAGATGGTGATCAGGGCCATAAAGAAAATCTGAATGCCACTGCCGATAATCGCGGAAAATAGTCTAGTATTCTTGGGCGGACGGAATACGTCTCCATGCACCAACTTCCAACCAGTCTCCTCTAAGGTATCTTCAATATTGTCATCCGTATTGTACCGGGCAATGTCTCTGCGTAGGGTGCGAATCATAATCATGGTGAGGATTCCAGAGAGGAAGAAGACCACCACCAGCGAGTTGATGATGCTGAACCAATGGATCTGGACGTCGCGCATGCCAAGATAGATGTCCCACCGCGAGGCCCAGCTCACCTTAGACTCCTTCCACTCCACAGAGTATGTGAAATACAGCTGTGTCTCTCCGTTCGGATTGACCAGCTGAGGTCGGGCGCTGTCTGGGAAGTTGCAGGTGTCCCCATGGAACTTCAGCTCTTTGTGACTAACGGAAACTGTTTCCACTTCAAAGCCAACCACACGGTACTTATCTTTGGAGTGCATGTGGTAGGATAGAATAAACTTCAGGTGGTTATTAATGTAGATGTTGTCCCCGTCCACTTGGCCCAGCCGATACCCGTGCTCGTAGGTCACCTCCGCGGGATTGTTAACGCTGACGATGCGCGTGGCCACCGGCAGATTGTCCACGAGCAGGTGCACGAAGTACTCGTGCTGGATGCGCTCCGCGACCAGACCGGAGTCCTCCTTGCTCCAGGTGAGCGGTCTGTCCTTCTGGTTGCACAACAGACGGCAGTTCACCTGCTGGTTCATCCGCACCTCGTAAGGCGTATTGACTATTCGGTCACCGCGCAGTACTTCGCCCAAATTCTCCGACTTAAAGATAAGAGTGCCATTCTTGGGATAGCAAAACCTAAGCGAGTAGTACTGATATGGCAGCTGGGTGCGGCTGCTAGTCATCTTCACCGCTTTCACGTCGATCTTTTGGTCCTGGACAAACTCCACCGGCGCCACGCCGGGCACGTAGAAGCAGTCGGCCACCAGGACGAGGGCCGCCAGCAGGACAATCGCCAGACATGGCCTAGCCAGAGCCCCGGACTGTAAGAGAGTGATGGTTTCATCCTGGTCTAGCAATCCTGCGTGTCCCCTGGGCATCGCAAGTGCCCAAAGCTTGCCCCACTTACCTGCATTTTTGGAGGTGTTTGGGAGTGCTAGTAAAGTAACCACTGGCACGACCCCTTGTTTTGGCAGCAATTCCGCTAGAAACTATATATTTTGTATATATATTGTAGTTTCTGCGTCTCCCTGCTGGCAATTCTTCTTCTTCAAATCTTCCGAGTTTTAGTGCAGAGTAAGTCGTGGCCGATGAAAAGGTCATACTAAATATCGACTATCGATAAATGGGAATATCGATTGTATTCAAAGTAACCGCAAATATTTAATATTTTTGGAATTTCTACATCACATCAAAAAAATTACATAAAAATAAATTTCCAAATATGAGTGCAGATTTTTAGAGAATTGCGCCAGAAACATTAATAGGTGCCACTTCCAAATCCGATTAAGATAATTTGAGTTATGGAGTATAGAACTTCAGCCGTGGGACATTTTTTGGAATTCCTACAACATCACACATCAAAAAAATTACACAAAAATTTAAAAAAAAATCAATTTTTAATTTTGAATGCAGATTTTTAGAGAATTGCGCCAGAAACATTTAAAGGTATGCCACTTAAAAATCCGATTAAGATAAGTTGAGTTATGGAGTATAGAACTTCATCCCTGGGACATTTTTTGGAATTCCTACATCACACATCAAAAAAATTACAAAAAAATTTAAAAAAAATCAATTTCTAAATTTGAATGCAAATTTTTAGAGAATTGCGCCAGAAACATTTAGAGGTATGCCACTTCAAAATCCGATTAAGATAAGTTGAGTTATGGAGTATAGAACTTCAGCCGTGGGACATTTTTTGGAATTCCTACATCACACATCAAAAAAATTCAAAAAAATTAAAAAAAAAATCAATTTTTAAATTTGAATGCAAATTTTTAGAGAATTGCGTCAGAAACATTTAGAGGTATGCCACTTCAAAATCCGATTAAGATAAGCTGAGTTATGGAGTATAGAACTTCAGCCTTGGGACATTTTTTGGAATTCCTACATCACACATCAAAAAAATTACAAAAAAATTAAAAAAAAAATCAATTTCTAAATTTGAATGCAAATTTTTAGAGAATTGCGCCAGAAACATTTAGAGGTATGCCACTTCAAAATCCGATTAAGATAAGTTGAGTTATGGAGTATAGAACTTCAGCCTTGGGACATTTTTTGGAATTCCTACATCACACATCAAAAAAATTAAAAAAAAATTAAAAAAAAATCAATTTCTAAATTTGAATGCAGATTTTTAAAGAATTGCGCCAGAAACATTTAGAGGTATGCCTCTTCAAAATCCGATTAAGATAAGTTTAGTTATGGAGTTTAGAACTTCAGCCTTAGGACATTTTTTAATTTCTTTGATTTTCTACATCATGACATCAAAAAAATGACAAAAAATATTAAAAAAATAAATTTTTAAATTTGAATGCAGATTTTTAGAGAATTGCGCCAGAAACATTTAGAGGTATGCCACTTCAAAATCCGATTAAGATAAGTTGAGTTATGGAGTTTAGAACTTCAGCCTTAGGACATTTTTTAATTTCTTTGATTTTCTACATCATGACATCAAAAAAATGACAAAAAATATTAAAAAAAATAAATTTTTAAATTTGAATGCAGATTTTTAGAGAATTGCGCCAGAAACATTTAGAGGTATGCCACTTCAAAATCCGATTAAGATAAGTTGAGTTATGGAGTATAGAACTTCAGCCTTGGGACATTTTTTGGAATTCCTACAACATCATACATCAAAAAAATTACAAAAAAATAAATTTCTAAATTTGAATTTTTAGAGAATTGCGCTAGTAACAGTTAAAGGTATGCCATTTTAAAATCCGATTGAGATATGTCTATAATTATAGTTAGGTCATCTTATAATGGACGGATATGAGCTTTAAAAGCTTTTAAAATGTAAACCATTTCATCAGCCACAGTTTCACAGGGAAAGCCTGGAAAGCTTTTGTAATTTTCCATGTAAAAATTAAGTCTCAGTTATTGGAACTCGACCATCAAATTGGATTATACATAAATGTCTGGTTTCCTGAAAAGATAATGGGATACAAAAAAACTGCTATTCCTAGCAAAATTACATTTGATAAACTTCAAATTTTCCTCGTTATAACCAATGATAGGAAATTTAAATATGTATTTAAACATACAAGTTGAAAGTTCTGTTATACCATGTCAACAAAACATGCGAGAATTGATTTTATTATGCACTTTTTGGGTTTGAACAACAAAATGGATATTTACATTCAATTTTAAAGTCGCATTATCATTC